GAATTATCAAACCATCCAGTTAAGCATTATTTATGTCACTCTCTGAAAGATAACCTTAACGACCACCAAGAACTACATCGGTCCATGCAAATTCCAAAAGATATCAGATTGTATCATAACAACATCATATTTCAAGTTATAACCAATCTCCAACAGTTGTCGCTGATAACCTTTTGTTCAGTTAATGCGATATTAAGCTCATATAAAGGGTGGGCCATATAACACAGACCACCGAATTATCTTCTCCAGCTATGGTGGTACAAGAAAATTTGTATACGTAATTTAAATGATTTCAAAGGACGAATAAAATGGAAGACAAACATTTTTTTCTGTTTTTTTTTTTTCAAGGTCACCAATGTTTTTTTTTTACATAAATGTATATAATTCAAGTTATAACTAATTTCCAACTCATATAAAAAAATAAAAATAAAAGAGACTACAATAAATAAAAAATTGGTGGAACTTATTTCCTGCCAAGTTCCCTTCGATAGCCCAGCGACGTTTTCTCGTTGTAGATTTTCGAAAGGAGGATGTTAAGCTCACGCGGCGCGTGCCTCGCCTTACATTCGCGCTCGATACAAATGTTTATACGTGTCTTGCAGGGCAAAAGGCAAACAAAGCGATAGCTTTCCGTGGCTCGGAGAAGGGTGCAGTGTGGCAAGGGAAATAACGTGCTCGAACGAATAAGCTGCGATGGAAACTCGTGAACGGAAACTTTAACATTACCGCCACAATTTGAAGAGAGCAAAAGAAAAATTTATCGCCACGTTTCCGAGGCGCCGGTAAACTGCAATTCTCCGTCAAAGAATAATGCCGTTAAAATTGGTTTCGACCAAACACCGTTAAGAAGAATGTATTCGAGTCTTATTCAGTAGCACTCCATGATGCTCGTATTAAAGTTCTACGAATTAATAGGACTTTAGATTTGTTATGTTTCCAGGAGAAAGAAAATTTGAAAAATTGTTTATAATAAATTTACGATCATTTTCTCTTTTCGTGTATCCACTTAAAGAATAAGGAGGATACTGGTGATTCTATTCATCTACTTTTTTTTTAATTATTTAGAGTTTTGTGAGAATTTATTTAGAATTACTAAGAAATTATTTTTTTTAAATTATGATTTTTCAGTTATCGTATAAAGTATTTAAAATTTTTCAAATACATTGTAACAATAAC